ATTCTAAATGAAATTTTTCTTGTTTTAAGTAGTACTTATATATTTTTTAATATAATATGCTTCACATTATTGTACTATAGATTTTATATTATAAACCTTAGCGTCATAATCTATTAAATTAATAAGTTAAATTTTGTTTGATTTAGCATTTACGATGTTTAGACATGACACTATCTTCATATATTTCTATATTACCCACACTCAAAAGCGAATAATGCATATTCATGCATAGCATGAGTTACTCTACACTCAAAGTTTCATCCGAGTTAACTAGTTAACTAGTTTCGGTTGACTGTGTTTTCTTGTAAGAGCAAGTGCCCGCGCTACTGCTAATACATGTTATATAGCTAACTGCATACTGTCCGTAGCTTATCAGAACTTTTACTCTATTAGACCGATAATATCGTTTGCATTCCACTTATTAGTATACCATCGTATTTATCATTTCTGCGAGTGTAATGTCATGGCTCTGCGTTTGTTTTATCGAACGTCAACTTATTGTCGAAGCCGATCGATTCTCGATCTTATCTGCCGCGAGGATCGCGAGTCGACGTGAAGACATTGACTCTATACGACCGGACGGAAGTGCGTCTATACGATAGAAACGAACGTGTCGTACTATGAATACATTTACGTTCGTTCAGTTTACCATGCTTATATTGGAAGATGTTCCCTTCGGTATTGCCTTCTCGTTTATCTCGCAGTGCCGCATGATAATCCTTATAATTGCAATTTTTATATGTCTCTCAGCGCGATGTTCTGTAAGTAATATTCAAAAGGAAAAGGGAGGGCACAGAGAGCAAATTAGCTGGTCGGAATTTCAATCGACATGACTGCTAATTAGGTCCCCTACCTGTCAAATACGCCGCCTATCTCGTATTCCGCGGAGAAACTCGTTCTACATATAGCCACGAGCTGAAGTGGATCTGCAGAGAGATATCCATTCTTTCCTCTATGCATTATAATGCATTTATAATAAATGTATATTTGTGAAAGTATTTGTGTACGACAGCGTCCGTGCAGACGCGTCTGCCCGCGAGAGTGCTTTGCTCTTCGAGGGCGATAATAAATCTACGCCGATAGCTTTAAGGACTCTCGTTACGTCTCGTTTATAATTATTTCTGCGAGACAGCGGCCGCAGTGACGGTAGCGGCGGCGACGGCGGTTTTCAGGGAAAAAAGAGACGAGGAAAAGGAAAGGAAGAAAAAATTAAGAAACGTCGCGCGTCGTGTCGGCGTCCGCGGGCAAATTTATGGCACTATATACGTTTCGTGACTCGTCTCGTTTGCAATTATTCGTCTTCGACGTATATGGATCGTGAACGTTATTGACGGGGCACTCGGTGCTATTTTCCGGACGATCTCGACGTCGAGAGCGTAGGTAACGAGACTTGGCCGAGCCTACTGATCCATCGTCTCCGCGGGCGACGGGATAGATGATGATCCGTCATGGTGTGTCGTTAAAAGTCGGCGTTTGACCCAACGGGGCCGATGGTGGTATTACGTGTTTGCGTGCCGCGAGTATTCTTCGTGACTCCGTGCCCTTTACTCGCCCGCCTCTCCTCCACCGTCCGTCGCGGCCACGCTTCGGAAGGTTTACGAGAAGGTAAACTCCGCGCGGCCCCACGAGAGAGAGAGGCATTCGTACCATGCTAGAAATACGCTAATGCGCGCCGGCGTTCTCATGGAAATCGTGGTGTCCGTGGCGGAGAGTGAATCTACAATCCTACGGCTACAGAGATAAATCGGCAAATAAATCGTACCGATTTTTAGGAGCCATCGCTAATTAGTTAGAAATATGTAATTCTCGACAAGAAGAACATTTGTCTTCGACTAACTGAGGTATATGGTCCCAAAACTTATACGTCTGAATAAGAATCTCTGTTATTATCTCCTAGTATCATTACTATCCGTGTAATTTACTCGTTTCTACGTCATAAAAACAATCACATGAATTTATATTCACACTTTAGCATTAAGCGCGCATATGCGCGCATGCCTATTTAATTCTCGAGCCATGAGAGAGACGATCTTCGAACGAGGCAGACAAATCTCGAGGGCTTGTCGAGTTGGTCCATGAATACGAATATCTCTCGGTGTAGTCTCGGTCTCAGTCGTACGATCGGCTGTCATAATTCCCGCGAAATGTTTGTAGTTGGTAGAAACGAAGGTGAATTACGCGAAAGCGCACGAGTCAACGGGCGGTCACTCGATGAATCACGTCATAAATTACGTCGACTAATGAAGTCGCTACTACCAAAGAACGGCGCCGAGATTTACGTCTTTGGCGAGCTTTATGCCAAAGCTTCGAGGTTTATTTATAACTTTGCATCGCGTTCCTTTTGCGCTCGCGCTCCCGGTGTGTTATCTTCGTATCTTTTTAACGTCTCTCGGAGAAGCGTACGCACATTGCGTGCAGGACTTGGTTGAATCTCCGTAATGCGTAGCGTAAGTTGATCGGTATCGGTCCTCGAAGCAAGTCATTTATGTACTCATATTCGTTATTACTATTAGAAAAACGTAACATCTCCGTGTAATTACGCACGATGAACGTGTGTTTAAAAAAGCAGATATAGTAGCTCTTTATTCCACGCTCGGATAATATTTCAATGCTGAGAAATTTTGCTCGAGTAGGAAGTAAAGTTTGTACTGACAACAAACATTCGAGGATCTTTACTTTGAACAAGTTTATTGCGCGTGAATTTCCCTTTTGTATTTTGTTGAAAATCTCAGATGTGACAACTAAATTGCAAATATATGAAACTGTCACTGTTATTTTGTTTTAGATTTTTCTCTTATTTCTTTAAAGTAAGGTAAAAAGTCTAATAAAATTTCTAGAATTTTTATTTTATACGTGATGTATGATATTCATAATAATCATTTTTGTGAAATATAAAAGCGTTTTTAAGTTTATTAATAATATGTCTATATATCTTGCAACTAATTCAAAGATTTGCAACTTGTTTACGATTAAAGTGTAGTAATAGTAATTAAAATCTTGACCAGATGATTACAATTTCATTATATTCCTATTAAATTATTATATTCCTATTAAATAATTTTAATAAAACTAGATTATTAACAATTAAATTAACATTAATTATAAAAATATAATATTAATAAAAATAATTAATAAAAAATATTAATAAAATAATTATTTTGTTTTGATAATAAATTATTGTTTTGATAATAAATTTCTTTCTTATTACGTTTATGTGTAAAAATATATTGGAGATTATAAAATCAAAATATAAATTTATTCAAATTATAAATATAATTTTATATAAATTTATTATATAACAGTGAAACGAATATACATTGACTTTTTTTTTAATTTTATGTGTTTTTCTCTCTTTGCTTTCCGATTATTTGAGAATCAAAATTATAATTTCAAGAGAAAAGCGAATATATATTTGCTCTCTTTTCAAATAAAATAAATTTAATTTGATGATTAATAGTTTGTGTATACTGACAATTGACAATTTGTTGAATTAAATCTAAGAAATTTTTAAAAACTTACTAGAATAAGTACAATTTTAAATTTAAATAAATTTCACCTCGCGAAGAATCGAATCAGTTAAATTCAAGGTTGTTGTTCGCAATTATATCTATCGTCACAACTGATTCGCGCGGCAGCAAAAATACCGCTAGATGCCAAGTGCGCAGTGTTAGCGTTTTCAGGTTGCGACGGCGAACCGTTCGCCGATAACAAAAGGGCAAGGGTCGCAGCGGTTGCGCCCTCCGCGAAGGTGCCGGAGGAGGAAAATTGCTTACCAGGCGTGGGAGGAGGATCGGTCGGTGGATCCGGGAGTCGTGCTGGCGGCGAATCCAGCAGAGTCAGGATGCACAGCGCGGTGACCAAGACCGCGGCGAGTCCTACTCTGCATAATCTCCTCGTTCCCGCGACCGGCATGCTGCTCGTTTCCTTTATTATTATTATTTTTACCCGTAGCGAAAATCTTCATTCGTCGTGCGCGTTTGTCACGAGCGTAACGGCGGCGACATGTCTCGGAGAGTTTTTATTTTGCGAAATTCCTCCGCAAGCGAAGCTTGTCGGTGATGCACTTCAGCCACGAATGCATCTCGGACGTTAACACGACAGGTCAACGATATATACGTTTTTATGCAATTTTCACTTCATTCCGATCTTTTTCCGTTCCGCGATACACGACACACGCAGTTTTTTCAAGAGTACATAAATTTGTAGTCCGTTTATATAGTTTTATTTTATCCTTCTTTTTCTTGCAATATTTTTTTCTATTTTGTTTAAAATGACCTCTGAATTTCATTCACTCGCGGCGTTGTGATTTGCGTGGAGATTTAACCATGGTTTGCTAACGAACTAGTTGTAGGTAATTATTCGAGTTGCTACTTGGCGGCACGAACTTGCTCTGAATCAAGTTCCCTTCGTCTCTCCTGTGATCTCATCCGGATCGATTTGTCGGTCGCCTTCGACTCGGCACGCTTCGTTCTCGCGATGCATCAAAGAGAGAGATCGATCACGTCGTTCGTAAAAGATTTAATTTTGCAAAATCGATACACTTTTAACAAAAGAAAATAAAATATGTGATTTAAACGGTTACTTTATCCGCGTGTGGGTTCCGGAATAAACGCACGAATCTGTATGTCTCAATTTCGCGTAAAAAGTGCCGTGTACGATGTCTCGACCTCCCACGCGACCTCACAACGACAGCTGCCGCTTCTTCCCGACTTTGTAGGTAGACGGCGACCATGTATGGCCGTCCTGAGAAGATCCGCGTTCTCCTGCCTCTGTGTGCTCTCGATAATTCAATTATTCCGACCTGTTCCAATCGATCCAATCGATCGATCTTCGCGTCGAAGTTTTTCTGGCCGATCCCATTTTTTCTTTGCAATTCATCGAAGCGCGAAAATTTTTGAAGGGGTCCGCTCGAGGGCTATTGTACTCTTGCAACTCTGCTCCGTCGTGCTAAAAAACGTGGCTCACGTGTGCCGCACATCGGCGTGTGACCATTTCGAATTCATTTTTGCCGCAGTCTGTCGATTTCACGCACGACCATCGAAAGTGGAACGCTCGGTTCGAACGGTGCGCCTCGTTTTAATTGTCACATTCCACGCGCGGTTGGACTGATTTCGCAGGCGCGGTGAGAAATGCGCCACGGGATTAAATGTGCCGCCGACTGGCGTCACGGTGTGATACTCCCGGTGTAAAACTGTTCGCCACCAAACTCAAGAGCGCGATCGGAATCTCGCGAATTAATTTACGACGTCCGTTTTAATCCATGCTCTCCTCGGTCGAGCACCGTTGACTTCCCTCGGATTATCTTCTTGCGCACTTTTTAAAATTAATTCGCAAACACATAAGAGACATACAGCTCGAGAGCTAGAACTTGATCTTTCTGACTTCTTAATTTTCTTGATTCGCACTGTCGCATATACCTCGTGAATTTTAGTAATCATCGCGAGGCGATTACAATCGAATGCATTTCACATGACACCGGCCGGAAGTTCCTCTTTAAGATTCCCTTTTATTATCCCTCTCTCTTTCCCTCTTCTTTTCTTTCGGCGATGTCGTCGCTGTTGCTGCACGAGGAACACGTGCACGCGGCTTCTTGGTGGTTTCCTCTCGCGGCCGCCTGTCGGCGGGTTGCACGTGGTCGGCGGATCGACCGATGGGGATTTGGGTGCAAACCTGGCCTGCGCGAGAGTCGAGAGCGTACTGCGTTCGAGCGGGAGGTTAACGCGCCACCGAGGCCTCGCACCGAGGCACGACGGCGACTTTTGGACCCGTTGCCTTTAGCATGCCCTCGCCAATGCGCCTTGCTACTACCCGTCCCTACTCGCCTTTACCTTGCCTCGCTTCGACCTAGCTCTTCTGCGACTTGCTTTGACTTGCCTCTTAGCTTAGCTTTATCCCGCTCTCCGGTTGGTTGGTTGATTGGTTGGTTGGTTGGTTGGTTGGTTGGTTGGGTTGGTTGGTTGGTTGGTTGGTTGGTTGGTCGGTTGGTCGGTCGGTCGGTCGGTTGTGCTCCTTGTCCGCCCTGACAACGTTAGTTGAGTTTACCTTGTCGCAACCTTGTGAATCGCGTCGCGTTTCACGTGCTCCTTTCTTTTCGTGTCTTCTTCGTTCTTCTTCCTCGTCGTTTTGCACCTCCGTTTTGTCGCTTCTGTATGCCATCAGTCTCCTCTATGCTCGTTACGCGAGGCTAATTAGTTTTTGTAGTGTTTCTCGTTTTGATAAATCGAAATTTAATTAATGAATAAACATTGATTAAGTTTAATTATTAAATATTTAATCAAATCATCAAATATTTTATTTTAAACATTATAAAAAGAATAAATTTTTTTTTGTTATAAATTAGTAATAGTTCGTTACTTTTATATCTTTTTTTTTCTAACAATAAAATTAATGGTATATATTTTAGCAGTACTCTGATTTTTTATTTTATTCTTATTTTTTATTTTTTATTTCGAACATACATTATTCTTTGTATTTTAAGCTTTGTGCATAAATATTTTAAATGTTACAATACCGGAAAAGAAAATATTTATTTGCATATTATTTTATAATTTGATAACATATTTTAACAATAAAATGCAGGATATTTTACATTTTATATTATTACATTAATTTGGTGTAAAATAAAATCATTTTCAGATTAACAATTTTTAAAAACTTTAAATATAAAATGACTGTTATATTATTTTCGAAAAATTTACTAATTGTACATAATTCTTGTATATAATTTTTAATTTATCTTTGAAATAGTTTTCCACTATTGGTAAATACACATTTATATTTTATACATTCTTAATTTTACATTTAAACGCTTTATAAAACTACTTTTGAATACATTTTATATAGAAAGTTGTAAGAGATTAATATGATTTTCTACAAGAACATTCCTACAAGAATGTTACTTCTTTTATGGAAGTTTCTTTGTTCATTTTCATCAAATTGGTTACCTTTCGGCACTGTTTATCTTTGCAATGATGTCAGTCGAGACGTCTTGTAAATTCATCATACACCTTTGTTAGTTACGTTTGTTTTCTAAGAGTATATAAACGATTTCTTTAGTCACCGTAACGTCGTTATCCTTTAGGAGTCGTATCTCCGGCCTGTAATAAAACGTACTTTCCTTCTGTTTCTCTGTTTTTGTGCCGGCTTTATGCCTTTACAGCCGATTTTATTTCATCTTATCTTCACACATTGCTTGACCTTTTCTCTCGCATCTCGTCGTTTTCGCTTATCCACCCGCGCGCATTATTTTTCGCTATTTCGCTCCGTATGTCTTTCCTCTCTGTATGCCTCCCGTGAATTCTTTCACGCTCCTTTCTCTACTCATTTCTTTTTTCTTTTTATCCGTTTGACCACCGTGAAACGTGAGCTACTTGCTCGTGTCAAAATCAATTGCGTGCTGAATGATATTGACTGTACGTGTATGTGCTATCATGCACGCTGGTAGATTGCATTTAAATCTTCCTGACGCGGCTGTCGCTACAGAGCAATCGTTACGGAGAATCTTTTTGCGGAAATTACGATAGACGCGGTTTTGTCTGCGGCGTGCGGAATGCGAGAAGGGAGAGAGAAACCGCGTGCCAGTATCCGACAGGAGAATGCGAATAATTCTTTCATTTTTTTGTTTCTATATCACGACTCACACCGTTTCCACGAACCGCGACGCGTGTGCATCACCTTTTGCCACGACTACTACGTAAAGGCTAATGCAGCGATATGTATTAAAGAATGATCGTTTATTACCGATTGGATCTTGAATGCAAGGATAAAGTCGGTCGGGGTCAGACGACGCGCGCGGGACGTCCTTTCTCTCTCTCTCTCTCTTTCTCTCTCTCTCTCTCTCTTCTTAACAAATCTCGTAAAGTAGAATCGGTAATGTTAATATCATTTGATCGGCTCAGTTGAAAAAGAAGGTGCAAATAAGGCACGGGAATACGGCACCACACGGCGTTCTCTCGGTACACGGCGTAAGCCCCAACCTCCAAGGCGGCCGTCCCAAGAATGTCACCGGATAGAAGAACAGGAACGCGAGCGCAGTACACTTCGCGCAATGATACAAACAGCAATCGTTCCAAACTTATTATCACCGGTAAGAAACTCATAAATGCTTATGACTTGCTTGCCGGTTTTTGCCGTGGCGTTCGTACGATCCAGTTAAAGCGACGTTTCGCCGGATTGACTCGGCAACCAGCTGGAGATAGACTCCGGCGCGGAGAACTCGGAGGAGATTCGTCGTGTCGCCGCTGCTGGGACAAAGCGAGAGAGACCAAGGGGACAAATAAGAATGAGAGAAGGATGCAGCATGACGGGGAGGGTAAGAGGAAGGGGGGGGCGGGAGTATATAAAGAAGAGGTGGAGGAGCCTGGGGAGTCCCTTCAACGTCATTTGTAATACCGGATGGCCTAATGATGCGACTGGTCGTGACAGGACGAGAATAAGAGTGGAAGCGTGCGAGCGCGTTGAAGATTCACCGTGGGTCTCCTCCTCATTGCGTCGCGTCACCAAGATATACGAAAGAGGGTATATAGAGCGGGCGGTCATATACATCCACGTGTCTCGGTCACTCGGTTGTTAAGGACGCGCAGAAAGCCTCAGGGACGTATTCCGCCCGTCCCCGTGATGCGCGACGGCGATTTGCTTCGCAGTGGTTGTAGATCACGGCAAAGGGGAATCTATCTATCCGTCGTCCGCGTACCACTATAACCACCATCGTAATATATACGCGAGCGTGGCTTTTTTGCCGAGCGTCTCGCAGGGAAAAGTACGCGGGCGTGTTGAAATTAATCTCCCACCGGCTACCTCCACACAAGGAGCCATAATAATTTATTCACGCGGAGGAGGCGATTGCGCCTCATCGCCTGTCTCGAATTTGGCGACCGTGTGCGACCTGCAAAAAGTTGATTGTTTTATGGAGAAATTTTTGACAGGCATTTGCCTGAGAGGCTGTATGGTTTCTCATCAATCATAATGAGCTTACATGGCGTATTTCATCTTCATCAAATCAAACTCTAGTAAATTCTTTGATGAATCAAAGTTCTAATTAAACGGATAAATAGATAAATTTATTTACCTCGCGATTAATTTTTCCTAGAAAATAAATCGAATACAAAAAGAAAAATTTATAACATTTGTTACGTAGAAAAATTTAAGCGTGTAGAATTAGAAAAACTATATAAATATAATGTAACCTGTTTGCTGTTGGAAATTTAATAGAATGTCGAATATGCATTGCTTGTAATGATGAAATAAAGAAAAATTTATAACATGTTCAAATTATGATTTAAAAAGTAGTGATTTAGGGCGTATGGGATTAATGCTAAGTATAGAAAGAGAGTGGCTTTCTTGCGTATTGATCCTTCTCTAAACATCGCGTTTATTCAATAATGGACATCCCGCGTTTACTTACCGGAAATGCTTCAGAACGTAGATACACGTATCGTGGAGTTGCGATGCTGAAGTACACCAAGGTACCGCCCTCGAAGCGAAAACCCACGCTGCACGCGATGATTCCCCCGCAAATCGAGACGATCTTCGACGCAACGCGCTTTCCTTCCTCGCGTCACTATAGGCACGACGGTGCACTTTGGAGCACGGCGTAGCTAATGATGCAGAACGTGCAGCAGTGTTTTCTTGCGGCCAACTAAGTAGCGGGATTTAAAAAATCGACAACCCGCCGTAAGTTACGTTTGCGTGGTCGTCGTTTCGACGTTAAGAAGTCCACGCAGACGCGCCATAAATTATAGGCTGAGAATGATTTAAACGAAACTCCCCGGTTTGTTAGCTTTATTTGTGTAACGCAACGGGTGTCGCAAAATTATCGGTTCTCCGATGCGCGCCTTTCTCACATTTGATTTATTATTTATCTGGTAATATGGTGTATGGATATGGTAATCGGAATCGGAGGATGAATCAGATTGCAACTCGAAATTTGTGTGCAACGAATATGCTTAGATATCATACTTTTTGTCGCGTAGTTGATCGAAACAAGTTAGTGCACTAGTTCTAGATTGCGATCGAAAAAGATAACTTGTTTATCTACTTACTGCTTTGAATTTTGCTGCTGCTAATTGCTGTTATATACGATATTTTACTTTATATCGCATTCAAGTAGCAATATTTATTCGTACTTTGACAATGCATAATTTAAAGCATTTCGTTTATCACAAAGAAGATTTTTAAGGAACGGCTTAACTTTTTTCCCGCTCTTTTTATTTATGTGTACTGCACTTAAATACATATTTATAGATCGGTTTACCATGTTAGATTTTGTTACGGTATTTACTCCTGTTCCAGTTGGTCAATTCTGCTGGCACAAGTCTGATCATTGAAGCCGAACGGTTGAACTTTCGCAAAACGATACCGATCGTGACTTGAACTTTCTTTTCTTTAATCGACAATGTAATGCATTGAATCGACAGAATTGGACTGACAATGAAACCGCGTTTTGCTTCATCGCTTTAGCTAGTGAGATTAATCAACGGCATGCTTAGATTTATCTTGGATTTATAATCGCAAGATATGCTATTATAACAATACTTTGTCGATTGTGTATCTTTTGTACACTATACATACGCACATTTATTACAGGAAACGACAGCATGCTTTTTGAAAATTTTACATTTTGAACATTAATTCTTTAAATGCGTATATAAAAGATTATTATGTTTTTGTAAAAAATTATGTTTTTGTAATAGAAATACTCATTGCACGTATGTATATTTCCATAAAATATGAACAGATATCAACTGAATGTTTATGCAACATCTAAAGAATTT